GATGTTTGTAAAGCGCTTAGCACAGTACCTGCACATAGTAGGCCCTTAATAAATACTTGTTCCCTTTCCTGCCAATCCCCATTTAGCCTGCAGATAACTGGCTTGAATCCCAACCAATCTGAAGCTGACTACCTCTCAAAGATCCGGGCAAGCTAGAGCCTGGGATGACTGTGAGAGAAAAACTCGTAATCCTTGTAAAGCCCCCATCGATGGTTAGGCCTGATTCTGATCGGTCTGGAGCTTCAGCCTTGTGTTTGGAACCAAATGGGGCATTCATAGACCAAGTTAACCTCTCTGGACCTTGGTTTTCTCATTTGCAAGATGAAGGGGTAGGACTCCATGGCCTCTAAAATCACTTGCAGCTCCAAATCTATGATTCTACAATTCCCTTCATCCTAGAACTCTTCCTCTCACATTCTCTCCATCTCCTGGGACTCTCTTAGCTTATAAAATTTTTAATTGTATTTTTTAAATTATGAACTCAGCATCAAATGAGCATAAGCATAATATTTCAGTAAGAAAGAATAGAAAAGAGGACTGTATGTGAAAACTGTGAGCTACTGTTACAGTTTTTAAAAGTATATATTACAGGGGGCAGCTAGGTGGCACAGTGGATAGAGCACCGGCCCTGAAGTCAAGAGGACCTGAGTTCAAATTCAGCCTCAGACCAAACACTTGACACTTACTGTGTGACCCTGGGCAAGTCACTTAACCTCAATTGCCTAAAAAAAAAAAAAGTGTATAGTACATTTAACATAAAATACCAATGCTGCCCTGCTTGTCTGTGTCTCCTTCTAAATTAACTTCTGTTCTCCATATTAAAAAAAAAGTTCCATGGATGTTTTTTCCTTTCTTCTTCTTTTTTTTTTTTTACTTCACTATCACTACCTATCAACTGTGTCCTCCTCCAAATAGATTCCCTCCCTTATAACTGGTAGGAATAGTCAAGCAACACAAATTGATACATTATCCATTAATGTATGTCTCATTTTGCACCCCTAGTCCACCGCCTCCCTGTCAAGAGGCAAGAGGCATGTTTCTTTTTTTTTCTTTTTTTCTTTTTAATTTTTTTTTGGGGGGGGGGCTAGGCAATGGGGTTAAGTGACTTGCCCAGGGTCACACAGCTAGTAAGTGTTGTGTGTTTGACCAGATTTGAACTCAGGTCCTCCTGATTCCAGGGACAATGCTCTATCCACTGAGGCATGTTTCTTTATCAGTTTTCTGAGGTGGCAATTGTTCACTGCACCCGATCAGAGGTGTGAAGTCTTTCAGAGTTGTTTTTCTTTACATTGTTGTTGTTATTACATAAATTGTTCTCCTGGTTCTGCTCACTTCACTCAACATCAGTTCATACAACTCTTTTTATGTCTCTCTGAATGTATCCCTTTTGTAAATTCTTGTGGATAAATAATATTCCATTCCATTCATACATCATAATTTGTTCAGCCATTTCCCAATTGATACCTTATTTGCTTCTAGTTTTTTGTTACAACAAAAAGTGATGTTACTAATATTTTTGTACATATGGGATCTTTCTCCCTTTCTTTTATAACTCTTTGGGGTATAGGCTGGGTAGGGATATCCCTTAGTCAAAGATATGCACAATCCAGTAAATTTGGGGGTATGGTTCTAAATTGCTTTCCAGATTAGCTGGACCCCAATTTACAGCTTTATCAATAAGTAGTAGACTAGGGGCAGAGCCAACATGGCAGAGTGAAAGCAGTGACTTGCTTGAGCTTTCTCCCAAAGCCCTCCAAATACTGTAAAAAATGACTCTAAACAAATTCTGGAGCAGCAAAACCCACAAAAAGACAGAGAGAAACAAATTTCCAGCCCAAGACACCCTAGATGGTTGATTGGAAAGGTCTACTGCACCGGGCTGGGAAAGGAACACAGTTCAGCATGGGCATGCAGGCAAAGACCAGGCCTCAGCGAACCTGGAGCAGCCCTCAGAGGACTGAATCACGGGCAGCTGTGGCAGTTTCTAGACTGCTTAGCCCACAAACGCCAAAGACAACTTAGAAGGTTAGTAGGAAAGGTCAACAGATCCCAGTGAGAGAGAAGCTAGGTCCCAGCCTCAATCCCTGCTTCCTGAGCTCTTGGCCCACAGACTGAGGGGGAATTGAGTGGCTGATCAGAGGAGGATTGCCATGATCTCTTTGCTGGTGCTGAGGCAGGAATCTCTTGCTTTGCCCATGCTTGAATCTGGGTCACAGTTCTGGGCGGCAATCCTGGGGCAAGGAGGAGCACTGACGTAGTAGAGGTTGTGGAGGCGGTGGAGAGGGAATCCTCCTCACAGTTCCAAGGCAGAAAAGAGTGCTTGTGGTCACTCATAGACCAGAGTACAAGACAGGGAAGGAGTAAACACCTTGCCCTTGATCATACCACCTTGGAAGAACTGAAAATTTACAGGTCCCAAGAAATATCTCTGAAAATAGCTGCACAAAACCCCCAAAGCTCGGGACAGTACATTCTTCATACTGGAAGCAGACCCCTACCTTAACAAAAAGTTTATAACTCAAGTAATTGGCTGGGATCGTGAGCAAACTACGCAAAACCAGTCAGACCATAGAATCTTTCTTTGGAGACAAAGAAGATCAAAACATACAACCAAAAGAAGACAACAAAGTCAAAGCTCCTACATCCAAAGGCTCCAAGAAAAATATGAATCAGTCCCAGGCCATGGAAGAGCTCAAAAAGGACTTTGAGAAGCAAGTAAGAGAAGTAGAGGAAAAACTGAGAGTGATGCAAGAAAATAATGAAAAACAAGTCAACAGCTTGCTAAAGGAGACCCAAAAAAAATACTGAAGAAAATAAGTAGTAGACTAGTGTGCTCATCCTTCTACATCCCCTCCAATAGTCAATAGTTTCCTTTTTTGTAATCTTTGTCAAAATACTTAACTTTAGAATTGCTTTTATTTGCTTCTCTCTTATTGTGAGTGATTTGGAGCATTTCTTCATATGGTCATTGATTTCTTGAATTTCTTCCTTTGAGAACTACTCAACATGAAGAGTTTCCCAAGGAAGAAACTGTAAGCCTCAGCTACTAGGTGAGGGGAAAAAAAACAAACTACAAATTATTCATAAGAAGAATACAAATTGGGGCAGCTAGGTGGCACAGTGGAAAGAGCACTGGCCCTGGATTCAGAAGGACCTGAGTTCCAATCCAGCCTCAGACACAAGTCACTTAACCCCATTGCCTATCAAAAAAAAAAGAAGAAGAATACAAATTACAGATTATTGTAAAGTTTTGTTGTTGTTTCAGTTGTCTACAACTCTTTGTGACCCCATTTGGGGTTTTCTTGGCAAAGATACTGGAGTGGTTTGCCATTTCCTTCTCCAGCTTATTTTATAGGTAAGGAAACTGAGTCAAACAGGGTTAAGTGACTTGCCCAGGGTCATACAGTATACTTCACACAGAAGTATCTGAGGCTGGATTTAAACTCCTGAAGATGTCTTCCTACCTCCAAGCCCAGTGCTCTATCCACTTCTCCACTTAGCTGCCCTATATGCTTGGCACATAGTAGGTGCTTAATCAATGTATGTTAATCAATTCTAGATGATCTCTGAACCTCCCTTACCCTTATAGCATTCGATGACAAATTCCCTCATGTTTTAAACAAGAGAACGCGGTTCTTTCTGTTTGTATCGCAGAGTTTCATAAAATCTATGTAAACAAGAAAAACCATCACAGAAACCAAGGTTCACCAGGGAAGGAGATAGCGTAGCAGTTTCTTCACCTTTGACGCGTATATTTCGTTGCTCGCTAGCACCACCGTGTGGACAGGGGAAGCGCAGAGAAACAGCACAGAGCTTGGCACTTGCTAGTAAGCGCGTAATAAAGGCTTATAAACAATTTTGAAAAATTTAAGAACTCTGCTGTGACTAGCGATTAGTCATGCCTTGATAGAGAGGTGATCAATTCTGCATATAGAATGAGCTGCATTTTTCAAGATGGCTAGCGCGAGAATTTGTTTTGATTATGCACATTGTCACAAGGGTGGTTTTCTTTTCCTTTTCTTCTCAATAGGAAGTGGATAATGGGGGGGGAGAAAATGCTTGTTAAAAAACAAAGTTTAATTTAAATTATTTGTTGATTATCAATGAGGTTTAAAAAAGCGAAAAAAAGCGCAACTCGACAGATAAAGAATTGAAATAGAAGACTGGATCCGCGATTTATTTTGTTTAGGAAACTTCTTAAGTTTACAATTTTACTTAGTTCCTCTAAGGATTCATAAGTTAAATAAGTTGGTTAAGGGCACAAAACGAACAGTTCTCAGAAGCAAAACTGAAATAAACATCACATAACATGAACATACATTAAAGAATATGCGCATTCCATAACAAGCAAGTACATAGGTATGTCTTTACTGGTTATAAATAAGTGCCACCCACACCATTTAACTCTCACATACCTCTATAAGTAAGGCTTGATCAATTCACGCCTTCCAATGCTTTAAGTACATGTAGCACGTTTTTTTAAACTGAACTACCCATTAGAAAATAACACCCAATAACACTACAAAAGCTTCCTCAGAAAAACTTAGCTTTTCTTTACGTAATAAGAAGGGCGCCAGGACCAACGATCACCGGCTGCCCAGCTAACAAAAATTGTGCTTCCGAAATCTCTTGATGTCGATTCCGCACGAAAAACGACTGAGGACACCCCCGCCGCTCGACGTGTGCCATGCACGACAGAAGCCCTTTTTAAAAGGAGCGTTTTTAGGACTACCACAGCGATACAGAACGACACATTCTAAAGTAAAGGTGAGTACATCTTAGACCTTCTTTCCACCACATCTGAGTCTGTGGAGTATATCTTTTCCTTTAATTTTCGCGGGCTCAGTTGGGAGGGGGCTTGGAGCATAGTTTCCCCCCCAGCCTCTTTTGAAGACAAAGTCTTGTATGCAAATGAAGCACGCGGAGCCTTCTGGGAAGCCAGGGGCTGGAGGTGCTATGTGAGCGGGTGCGGTTTGTTTAGGGCGGAGTCTGCGGTGCTGGAGGAGGGTGGGAGGATGTATCTGATTTCGAGAGCTCTTGATTTGGGCGCTGCTTTTCCACGAGTCCGGGAAGGAGCTCTGTGGTCCAGCTCCCTCACCTGTAATTGACTGAGGAGGAACCCGAGAGGTGAGAGAGATATCTCTTAGGGCAAGACTGCCTTAAGTCAACAATAGCAGACAAGCCGGGTTTGAACCCGGGCCCCCAGCTGCTTTCAAGCCCCAGCTTCAGCAAGAAGCCCTTCGCGATCTCCCTTACTACTGGTGCCTTCGCTCGGTTGGTTGTCTCTAATTTATTCTGTCTGTAGCTTTCATGTAGATAATTGTTTCTTTGTATCCCCTGCGCTTAGCCCTATGCTTGTCACAGAGTAGGTGCTTAATATGTGCTTGTTAACCACTGGCTGACTGGGTCTCGGGGCTACCAGCGAGGTCCTCCAGCCTCTCCTTAGTTCCCAGGCAGTCAGTCTGTCCAAGCCTTGAGTCCAGGCTATAGCTGATAACTGCTAGGCAACTTTGCTGAAAGATTTGTGAGAGGGCATCTGGAATAGATGGGAGGCTTGGAAAGAGAGGAGGTTAAGAAGATAGGGTCGGAGAGAGAGGAGAATGGGCTCTTATTATCACTCTTTTTTAAACTCACAGTCTCTAATTAGCTAATCTGAATAACAGAAATGTAAATGATATACCTAATCTAATTTAAATATATCAACAGCAGTGTATTAAATATGTGTTATATATAAGTAAAAGTAATATAAATAATTGAAAAATATCTAAAAGCTTTCTTCAAAACCAGGTGCTTAAGAATAAAAGGACATATATACTGCATTTTTTTAAAAATAGTCCAGCCCTATCATTTCAATCCAACTAATACAGGTCTGTAACTCGCCTGTAATTTACTTATTTGGGGGTGTCTGAGATATAAGGAGACCTGCCCATCATTCTAAACAGTTACCATGAGTTTAAAGGCTGTGATTATTAACCCCATTTTACAGATGAGAAAAACTGAGGTTTAGAATTTGCAAAGCTCAGCACTGGCAAAGCAGTCTCTTTTGAGCCTCACCTTAATTGGAAAAATAACACAGATTTTCCCTTTTACTGTAGAATAACCCGAGGGTCACCCAACCCAGGGTCAAAAAAAAAAGTCTGCTTTCATCCAGTGACTCCTACTTAACTAAACTGAGAACTCCGGTGTACTTGCATCTCTTGGTGTGGCAGGTAAAAGATGAAATGACTGAGGAATCAAAGATTGGAGCTTCCAAGTATCCGGATTTTTTAAACAACACATGCCAATAACCTAACAAATCGTGACCAGGCCCTTCAGCTTTGGCACTGGACACCAAATACATTAAAAACAATTAATCAAATAAAACAAATTAATTAAAAGAAAATAATTAACCAGGAAACAAAATTAGGTAACCTGATTTCTAATTGGAGGAAAGCTTAGGGACTTTCCAAGTCAGGAGAGGGAGAATGAACAGGTGCAGTTCTCTGAAATCAGAAAATGAGGTTTTCCACTTCCCACTAGTGGCTGTATTCAATCAAAGGAACATGGAAGCAATAAAACTGTTTGATCAGTATGGGGTCAGTTTTCAGATAAAACTTATGGATTGCTTGAGATGTATAATTGTGAGGTAACTCCTTTCATCGATCTTTGGACCTGAGTGGGTTTCTGGTCAGCATAACCTGGGTCATTAGTTAAGGTTCTCTAAACAACAGGTAGAGGTGATCCAGCTTCCCAGTCAAACAGGTTTAGGTTCAAACAATGCAATAAAGTTTTCTCACAAGACAGACATTGGACCAGACACATAGCTGAATAGAAAGGGAACTGAGCTAGCTCCAGAACTGAGTCACAAGATGATATCAGTATGGTTCACCCAATTCCCACTATCACTTGCTGTTTTAATACCTTCGCTGGCTACACTTGGGTGTGGAGTGAATCTCCCCAAGGCGGAATCTTTTTGGAAGCTTCCGAAATGGAAAAACAAAAAAACACCTGATGCCAATGAGAAGCAAGCCTTCCCCCCATCCCCTTTAGGAAGGCTAATTGTGGCTTTCAGACTTGAGGAGCCGTTAGGAAGGACATTTAAATTGAATACTTCCTAATTTTCAGACCCTCTCTGAAACAGCTCCGGTATCTGCAGTTCAGTCTATTCTTTTTTTTTTTCATTTTTGTGAGGCAGTGGGGGTTAAGTGACTTGTCCAGAGTCACACAGCTAAGTGAGTGTTATGTGTTTGAAGTCAAATTTGAACTCGGGTCCTCCTGACTCCAGGGCCAGTGCTCTATCCACTGCGCCACCTAGCTGCCTCAGTCCCTTATTTTTACAGAAAAGGAAACAGGTCTAAGGAACTAGCCCAAAGTCATTCGACCTCAGTGGGAGAGCCGGCACTAGAACCGAGGTCTCCAGATTCTCAGCTCAGTGTCATCTCTGAGAAACAATAGGAGGAATTATGTTTCCACAGAAACAGCAGGTCTGCAAAATATCAGGGGGCTCATAAGGAAAGAGCCTGGGCCAAAAAGACATGATTAAAATCAGAATGCTTGCTATTGGTTGGAACAGTCTATGAGCAGGAACTGAACCGGTTAAAACCAGAACTGTGGTCAAATCGCAAGACATACACATGGAAATGGGGGGGGCGATACCTAAGAAGGTAATAAGAAAATATGGGCCGGGGTATCTGAAAAGAGAGTAATGGGAGATGTAAACAGGGGCGGAGAGCTTAGTATGCAAATAAGGAAACTTCTGATTGGTTTATAACTAAAGAACAGGCCCATGGGGTGGGAATAGTCTCATAGAAACGTAGTATATAAGTGTGTGTGTTAGTGCGTTCCTTAATTCGTTCAGCACTCGACTTACAGGCTAGCGGTAAAGCTTTCCTGGCTTCACCAACGAGTGTTGTCTTTCGGTAAAGTGAGCGCGTTTCTCGTATCTCACATCTCAAAGCGATAATTCCTTGGAGAAGTTGTGTCAGGCAGTACCCCTGCGATTTCCCCTGCAAGCTCTGCACAAATTCCATACAGCACCTCTGTATTTCAACAAGTATTTGTTAAACGCCTGTTGTACACCAGACAGGCAGCTTCTGTGCTGGGTCCAGGCGGTTGGACACAAAAAAATGAAACAATTCCTGCCTTCCAGGAGCTTACAAGTCTCCCAGGGAAGAAGTAGCATGCACAGAGAGGAAAATACGATCAGTAAACCAACAAGCATTTGTTAAGCTGGGGATACCAAGGAAAAGCAGAAACAGTCTCTGCCCAAAGAAGCTTAGATTATAAAAGGAGTTGGTGGAGGTGACATATCAATAAATACAGAGTAAAAGGAACAGTATCAGAGGATTTGTCACTAGCCTGGGAGAACCAGGAAAGGCCTCCTGGAGGAATTGGAACCAGGTCGCAAAGGAAGCCAGGGATTCTAAGAGTCGTAGTCGGGGGAAGGAGAGTATTCCCGGCATGGGGACACAGCCTGGGCAAAGGCACAGAGATGAGAGGTGTAACCTCATGTATGAGGAACCGCAAAGCCAGTAAGCCCGCATTGTGGAGAATGCGTGGAAGACGACTGAATGTCAGAAGACTGCAAAGCTAGCAAGGGGCCAGGATGTGAAGTACTGCAGGAAGCATGCATACAATTAACAAAAGTAACTTCTGGAGCTTCTGAGATAACTCTGTGGGCCGCCTGCCCAGGCCACTAGGAGGGCAGTGCCAGGGAGGTGAAAGCCTTCAGAATGAAACAATGTGTTGTCATCCCCCGAGATATTTTAAGCTCCCTGAGGGCAGGGACCGTCTTTTTCTTTTTTGTATCCTCGGTGCTTAGGCACAGAGCCTGCTACAAAGTAGGCGCTTAATGTTTATTGAATGAATGAATGAATGAATGAATTTAGGCAGGAGAGGACAGGGCGCCCCCACCTACCCACCCCCGGTCAGCTCCCAATCCAGCTTTCCCCACGAAGTCAGAGCGCTGGGTCGGGGCCACCAAGTACCGAGAGCCCAACCCTCCGGGTCTCGTCAGTAGGAAAGGTGAGAACACTAAGGGACAGTAGCGTATAAACAGCGCGCATGCGCACGGCGCAGATCACGTGGGCCGCAGGCGGGCTTCTCACTCATCCTTGCTCTCGCAAGACCAGCCCGCCCGGAAAGAGCTTTGGGCTTCCGGGTCACGAGGCGGGGAGAGCGGTTGCCGGAAGTAGTCGCTGAGGGACGCACAGTCGGACCCGGCAGTTGAGAGTGTAAGTTTGTGCCGGCTGGGAGCCAGGGGATCATGGACAGATAAGACTTGGCTGCGGGTGAGTGCGGGGCCTGCCGAGGAATGGGGGCGGCACGTCTGCGGGGGTCCGTCGGTCAGTCATTTCTTAAGCGCCTGCCGTGTGCCGGGCACTGTGCTGAGCGGTGGGAGGGGGTGAAGGAAGGGGCGGTTGGGTCCAGGGGGGCAGGACGCTGGTTCTAGGGGAAGCCTGGGTCCGAGGAGGCAGAGGAGCGGCCCAGAAGAGGAGGCTGTGTCTGCTGGAGGAGATGCTGTGTCTGGGGAGGGCCGGGTACGGTGGGGAGGGGGTGTGGCCGGGGGGCAGAGGGAGTCGGGGAAAAGCTGGGTATGATGTTGGGGGGCGGGGGGGAGCCTTGTCTGCAGGAGGGAGTGGTTCTGATGGGGAGAAGGGATCAGCAGGAGGGTGGGGTGTGTAAGATAGGGCTTGGATTTAGGAAAGCGGGTTGGGGTCTGGCCGGGAAGGACTTAGAAGAGTGGGGCTGGGTCTTCTGGGGAGGGGAGAAGGGACTGGATTTGAGGGAGTATTGTTCCTCCAAACCCTTTAAGATCATTTCCTCCCTGTGTGCTGAATTCACATAGTTTTCCTCCTCCTGTGAGACAGCAAAGTGAGTAAAGAAAATTGTACGGGGACTTGGCTACAGGAGGAGCAGTAGCAAAAGAGCAGCAGCTGTTGAGAGACGTCCTACCGCCCCACCTCCTTCTCCTGTACTTTTCACAACGTCATTTATTCTGGAAATGTTTTAGAATCTTGTCTAAAAAGTAATAGCCAGTTCATTTTGACAATCACTTAATCTGTTCATGGCCCTTGGCCAGTTGTTATGGGGGTACAATATAAACAAGGCAATCCCTCCTCTCAAGGAACTTTTTAATTAGTAGGGGA